GACATTGTGTTCATAATACTTTCGTAAAATGTGCTGTCTCTATTAGCGATTGGCACCAACACAGCAATTTGGACAATTATTCCACAAGTTCACTGGTCTGTTCTCAGAAAATAAAAACTCATCTCAAGCCCGGAGATATCAGAATACGGGTTGAAATTTGTAAAGGCTAACGGGTGACCGCGTTGGCATCATTCGTCACGTAAATGGACCTGCCATCATATGAGCACTTCTTGGCTCTGGCTCGCCAAATGGAGTCCAACTTTATCACCTCTCATTCACTACCTATGAATGCAAGTGATCGTCTGGTGTGCGCCTTTTTGCCTCAAAAGGTCAAGAAATGAGTGATTGTGTCTTCTTCTTGTATACATAATATCACTTTCAGCACCTGCTGCTCAAACCCTGGGATTGCGTTTTTTTAATGGAATTCCTAATTATGAGGTTGAAAGTAACTAGTTCAAATTTCGCAGTCGGCGTTTAGGCCAAGCCAACTTATACGGCTTGTACCTGCTGCTTTACCTGGCTGGATATTCAGCCGAATTTGTCAGTTCCCTCGTAAAAGAATACAATTTTAGATATATCAGTACAGTTGTCAATGAGTGAACAAATAATACACCCAGCAAGTCATGGTGCGAGCATCTCAATGTTCAACTGCAGAAAGCTTTTATTCATTTGAGGGTATATTCTTATGGGAAACTGAAAATGCTAACGTACTTGTTTGCGTTTAATTCATTACCCATAATTATGAGGTACTAAAATTATGGATCAATGTAGAACCCTGTGGAAACCTTCACGGCTATACCAAGCAGTATCAAAAATCCTTCTATGAATTCGCACCTACAAACCTTATAACACTTGGTTTTCCTCGTTCTTTAGAGTACACTGCTGTTCTACGCGTGGTTTCATGTGTTACAATATTCAGCAGCTTGCCATTCATATCTTGGCCAAATGATGAATAATGATTCAAGAAGCAACTGTTTTTTGTACATACGTTAACGCTTGAGATAAACGGAAACCCATTTGAGTCATAGTATTTGACCTCCTCTTAGGTTTTTATTTTACTAGAAGAAATAAGCTTTCGGATCACCAGTGAAGGAAAACATTGTATAAACTCTCAAGTTCACAAACGGCTCTTGAAGAGGGTCCAAGTCGCCAGAATTTCTTTCAGAAGCGTAAATTTTTGCAGCCGATATCAATATTACTCTCAAATCACTTTAGGTATTTTATTAAAACAGTATGAAACTTTCTAATTTCCTGTCTTTGTTGTTTACCTCCACCCGCAAAACGTACAATCGATTCTTTTTCGAGATCCTTTGGCCACAGTATGATTTCAGTGTCATAGTAATCCTCACGTACCTATTCTTTTATTTTCGTAGATTGCAGGACACTCTTAGCAGTTTTTGAATTCATTTGAAGTAGCTACATAATTCAGCATGCAGCAGCAAGTCTTCGGTTAAAAGTGTGAGACTAGGTATTTATAGTTTCGGCATGAATATTCGTGTAAAATACCCACACGCAAAAACAGCATTCAGAAAAACATTGCACTAAATTTGCATGAAGTCTGCAAGTACCATCGGCGTTACGTAACAAAGGTGAAAGAAAAAGTGCACAAGAAACGTTCAACAAGCAAGCGTCACTGAATGTTCGGGGGCAGCTTGAGTTTCTATCTATGTATCATCAATACCATGTCAGGATTCAATTTGAGTCTGTTCCTGTGTGTCCCAGCCTGCATTTTTGGTAGGCCGCTAGGATAAGCAGTCTAAAAAATTAATATCATGGTGCACTAAGAGATTTAAAATGGCCACCAAAAACAGATTCTTAAAAAAACGTCATTTAATGGATCCCTTTGATTTTATTTTACAATAAAGCATTCAACATAACCAAAAACATCACCTTTGTGTTAAAGGCTCTTTGACTGGCGGATTGGATTGGTACAAGTTTTCCTCACAGACTGCATCATCTAAGCAATACAAATCACCATTTTAGAAAAACTACCGACACAAATTCCACATCAGATTAAGAAGGGGGATGCAAAGAGTAGCCGATTCAACCTCAAACACACTCGTGTGCAAAACGTGGATCTGACTTGTTGTCCCTGCAAACCATCCAATAAAAATGCATCGGATTATTTCTATGGCATCAAAGCGACACAAATATATCAGGCATGAGAATTTAACCATCTTTGTCTTGTTCCGACAAGGCGTGCACGTCCAATGTCAAAATTAAAATTCTCCGCGGTTTTAGCGTTTAGTGGGATATTTTGTGAAGCTATATCTGTCAGCCCGATGAGTGATTAATGTTTCTTTCAAAAGTGAGATGAACTGAATTAATTACTTCTCAATTCATATAAACCACCGAGGTTTTCCATATTTTTTACACAAATGTGTACGTCCAGTTTAAAAACGTGAACTTTAGTCCAAAACATAAATCATGGTAGCAGCTGTTGTACGCTAACAACCCTATATCTGTGAGAATTGGTGATTAAAATTTGAGCACACACTTATCTGAGCAAGAACTCGCACACCAGCCAAAATATAGTAAGTCGTCTGTAGGTCGTTATTTCAAAAAAGCATTCATCTCTTTTTTCTTTCATAAATATTACTCACAAGGTCGATGGAGACTCTAAGTAGTAGTTCAGTGATTGAAAATATGCTATAATATCCCGAATATCGTACCATCTGAAACATGAGGTGATCTTTTGTCGCACATTTAGTCAGAGAATATTATAAACGAGGGATTCATTTCAGCGTTCAGTGAAGAACAATCTGATTTGCCAGTGCGTGAATTAGCCGCCATTCGTCTATGTTTTCACGTCTCAAGAAAGAATTAACTTGGGCTTATCTGAAATGATCGGGCATGAACAGTGAAGAAACTGCGGTTTTTGATAGCCCCCCCCCCCAAAAAAAAAATGCCTTTGGTACTCATTGTTGCTCTACTGTGTTTGCGGCCTTAGTTAGTGAAGTGTGTAAGAAAAAATAAGTAAAATCATGGTTTGTTTTGGCATACTGCACATGTATTAGTGCATCAGCTTCCATCTTCGTTAAAAATCAAGTGCTCATCGACTTTTGTTTTCCGAAATCCCACACTCATACAACGGTTCTTTGAAAAACATTTTTGAGCTTGGTATTCAAATTAGTTGGCTGAGGGCAGGTGTTTTGTTTTGGACATTTCACTGTTAGTTAGGGCTACGTCATCAGTGTGTTGCAACACTCCACTCAGTTTCAAAAGGGCGCACTGATAACGACAACTTAAATGTTGATGAGACGTCTTTAAAGTTTGCCACCCTTGGCGAACAATTTTTTCTGCCTATTAAGGGAAGTTGGACACCAACATTTTCGTCTAGGTCAAAGGTCGAGGTATTTTCAGGATTTTTGGTAAAGCAGAAAACGATGTCTTTCTTTGGCATGAACGTCAAGGGTCGAACAAAAACGTTTCCCTTGTCCTATTAAAATAACTTCATGCCAGATCTCTAGTCTCAAAGGCATTTTTGAGGTACTGAGCAGCAAGAGAGGAGAAATAGGACGTGACTCCTGAGGTTAATTACTAGCCACCGTTTTAGTGGGAATGACTTACCGGCACGCTTTTCATTGTCAACAGCAGTTGATAAATCTGCGGATTAGGTGACTCCTGATGATCTGAGGAAATCGAGTATTTATAACAAAATAAATAAGTGCTTCTTCGCTGAGTGGAAATTATCCAATGAGAAACAAATATTTCTGCATGAATCTGTGCTCAGCAAACCAATCAGAATGGTTTGATGAGAGGATTTATTTTCGCTGTCTTAGTATCTCTCACTCTTGGAATACATGGCCATCTTATCCACGTGCCGATATCAGGAATGTGACACGTATACTCGGAGAACAGCTATTCACTCCTTGCTGATGCTTTTCCGATGGATTTAACCACTGACTTTTAGTTGCCAAAAATTACTGTCCGCAATTTGTCGGCAAGCAATTCCATCATCAATAAAGTCACTGCACAGCTATCCTCAAAGTTCTGCTTCAGTCGCGAATTTCAGAGAAAAAGGGAGTTGACCAATGGTGTATGTATGGTTTAGCTCTCAGTTTTCCGATAAAAGAAGGAATGATCAACAAATTCTGGGTTGCTGAACTACATTCAAACAGTCTTGAAATGAACGTCATTTGTAGTATTTCCACATCATTTGTCGCACATTTAGTCAGAGAATATTATAAACGAGGGATTCATTTCAGCGTTCAGTGAAGAACAATCTGATTTGCCAGTGCGTGAATTAGCCGCCATTCGTCTATGTTTTCACGTCTCAAGAAAGAATTAACTTGGGCTTATCTGAAATGATCGGGCATGAACAGTGAAGAAACTGCGGTTTTTGATAGCCCCCCCCCCCCACTGTGTTTGCGGCCTTAGTTAGTGAAGTGTGTAAGAAAAAATAAGTAAAATCATGGTTTGTTTTGGCATACTGCACATGTATTAGTGCATCAGCTTCCATCTTCGTTAAAAATCAAGTGCTCATCGACTTTTGTTTTCCGAAATCCCACACTCATACAACGGTTCTTTGAAAAACATTTTTGAGCTTGGTATTCAAATTAGTTGGCTGAGGGCAGGTGTTTTGTTTTGGACATTTCACTGTTAGTCAGGGCTACGTCATCAGTGTGTTGCAACACTCCACTCAGTTTCAAAAGGGCGCACTGATAACGACAACTTAAATGTTGATGAGACGTCTTTAAAGTTTGCCACCCTTGGCGAACAATTTTTTCTGCCTATTAAGGGAAGTTGGACACCAACATTTTCGTCTAGGTCAAAGGTCGAGGTATTTTCAGGATTTTTGGTAAAGCAGAAAACGATGTCTTTCTTTGGCATGAACGTCAAGGGTCGAACAAAAACGTTTCCCTTGTCCTATTAAAATAACTTCATGCCAGATCTCTAGTCTCAAAGGCATTTTTGAGGTACTGAGCAGCAAGAGAGGAGAAATAGGACGTGACTCCTGAGGTTAATTACTAGCCACCGTTTTAGTGGGAATGACTTACCGGCACGCTTTTCATTGTCAACAGCAGTTGATAAATCTGCGGATTAGGTGACTCCTGATGATCTGAGGAAATCGAGTATTTATAACAAAATAAATAAGTGCTTCTTCGCTGAGTGGAAATTATCCAATGAGAAACAAATATTTCTGCATGAATCTGTGCTCAGCAAACCAATCAGAATGGTTTGATGAGAGGATTTATTTTCGCTGTCTTAGTATCTCTCACTCTTGGAATACATGGCCATCTTATCCACGTGCCGATATCAGGAATGTGACACGTATACTCGGAGAACAGCTATTCACTCCTTGCTGATGCTTTTCCGATGGATTTAACCACTGACTTTTAGTTGCCAAAAATTACTGTCCGCAATTTGTCGGCAAGCAATTCCATCATCAATAAAGTCACTGCACAGCTATCCTCAAAGTTCTGCTTCAGTCGCGAATTTCAGAGAAAAAGGGAGTTGACCAATGGTGTATGTATGGTTTAGCTCTCAGTTTTCCGATAAAAGAAGGAATGATCAACAAATTCTGGGTTGCTGAACTACATTCAAACAGTCTTGAAATGAACGTCATTTGTAGTATTTCCACATCAACGTGTTACTAATGCTGGGAAACCAAAATCCTGCTACATTTTCCAGTTACCATTCGCTCAAAATGTGTTACCTCGCAATTTTCTTGATTTTTTCGTTGTAAACGAATGATTTTCTCTAAAGAAGCTCTTCTCCTGTCCACCAACTTAAAGTGCACATTTTACTGGCAATATTGCCCAGAATTTGCCATTTATGTGAGACAATAAAAATTTGTGCAGTGTCATGAACAAAAGAACACATACGAGACAAACAGAGGGGTTGATTGGGACGTTAATAAAACCAATACATCAGATATGACATCACTTGCATACTGCATGCATCCGCTGGCTTCCTTCGACGAAAGAACGTGAATGGGATGCGTCGTTATCTACCTCAAAAACTGCAAAGAATTGTTTCATCTTGTGCACAGTTTGACATGTTTAATCTATAATATCCGGTCGTCCTGAATTGTCACACAGAATGAGAAAGAGAAATTGCTTTGCTTACAACCGATGGAGGTAAATATGATCTAAAAGACAAATCTCAAATGTCAGTTACGCCTTAAAAATTAATTTTTAGGAATTTCCCGATATCTTTGTCTGAAAACTGTGGCCTGAGATCAAGGATTAACAGCACTATCATGATTGTTTCGAAAAAAAGCACCACACTCATTTGATCGTCGGTTTTCGTGCCACATTTCCTGCATTTAAGCCTCAAACTTTTAACCTTTCAGCTGGAATGATGTGGAAATCTACAGAGGTCTCCATACTAAATCAGATGTGGTCAAGTGTTCTTAGTCAGGTAATTCCCAGCAGGTGGGGAAAAATTAACTAGGCCCCAATCTGATGACGAAAATTTCCCTCAGACTTTCAACTATACAGGAAACTGTAGTGGAAATGATCTATCATTAATCGAGTGTTGATATCTCCTGTTCCGGTTGCTCATAAGTAAACAAAATGGCGCTATATTCTACAGCGCCATTTCGTTTCCTTGCTGCTCGCTCCCCGGGCTTTCACTTGTCCTTAAGGTCTGCCTGTTCTCTAGCATCTGGTTTCAAGATTTTACTGCCTGCCCGTTTTCAAACTTATGTTAGCTTTACCTATTTTTTATTGCCCACCCTTACGGGAGAAGGGACGTTCCGGGGATCGAACTCAGAGCTCCTCGCTACTTGAGTGTTATCCTCTACACCGACTGGAGGTCTCAAGGGACCCTGTTTTTGTACTACCTTGGTACCACACTTGTCAGATAGCATATGTTGAGATTTGTTTTAAGTGGACACATCCGTGCAATCCGATTTGACATTCGACACAAGGTGCTAAATCGAGCCGTCAGCCTGATACAGTTTCATGCCTCTTTAACGTACTGATTGTTTTCTGAGCTATCTCTGTGTACGGCCAATGTACACTGGCTGACTGCTCATAGTTAAAACCCTCATGCACCACTGACAATTTTATCTGCTCCTGCTAATTGCGACATTAGTGATTAACCAGTTCCCGACAGTTCACAATACAGCGTCTACTGCCCTCGTCAACTTGTGCCTACTGCCCACTGAATACACAATGCGTATAGTCCAATAGATACAATCATCCTATGATATCCTTAGCTGCCCAGATCTTACCCACGGATTTTTGTAAATGCGCGTTAATTTTGGTCGTCACACAAGGACAAGTCGTGATGCATCCATTTCTGATTCAGTAAATGCCCCCCAGTTATATTACATGCTGATGCTGTCTGAGGACGGTTTTGCTGGACCATCTTCAAAAATGGTTATCTTTCTGGTGAACAAAATTATCCTGTAGATGACGTCTAAGGTGACGCAAGTCTGGTTGGAAACATTCGAATGTTAGTGCAATGGTCCACGGGCCAGACTGGCTGTTAGCATAAAATTGGATCAATACTATCGGATTCGATGGCGATGAAGCCTGCCAGTACACCGACCACCAGTGCTTTGCAAGAAAGAATAAGGGTTCCAATATCAGGCTATGAGTATGTGAATGCGCTCGTTTCGCGGCCAGGAAATGAAGAACAGTATGGAACCCCAGAACCATATCTCTAGACAAAGTGGAGTATCAGCGAAGAAACAGACCTGGAACGTTAGAGTTCTGCAGAATAAAAAGAAGAAGGAGTAACAAACTTGAAGTAGAGTTATTGGTTTTAGTGAATTACCGCAATTTTGCTGAAATTGTTCTGCTAGGCATTCAGCAATAAAAACCTGACGCAACATAAAAGGTGCTTTGTAGGTGGAGCGTGTAGGACATTCTTCCGGGCAGGATTGTTTAAAAAGAGTAAGCTTCATGTTGAAAAAAATCAACCGCTTGTATCGATCACTTATGACTGATGGCTTCCCAGGTTGTACCATTGGCGGTCATATCACTTTCACTGGTTTTCACTCGACATTCCGGTAGACCATTCATTGCTTACAACAAGATCAAGGACAGTTTTATAATATTCGATGTTGATACTATGTTCTTAGGGGTAGATTTTTCGGATACTTATCTTCAAGTTGAGATGTGGGATGGCCGTGAAGAGTTTGTAATTATTAACACCCACCGTTGTCTATATCAAGTGTGCTGCTACAATCTTTCAGCAAATAACCGATATCAGATTGTACGAAATACCCTCTTCTGTGGAGTAGGTGGATGAGTACTATCTTCAGTAAATGAAGCGATTTTTCAGCAAGCACTCATGCATCGTTTTTGGCCATATGCATTAAATAGTGATTCACCTTGTCAAATGAAAAATGCGTTCTATCCTGCAAAGCATAAACCATCTTCAGTGTTTTGTCAGTGCCCGTAGGTTTCGTACTAATCCTTTGAACATTGTGACAGATGAGCAGCTCCAAGCCCCAACCAATGTACCAGCATTGCAGTCCTCCCTTGATTTGATCAGTTATCTAACGTACAACCTTACGCAGGCTATTACAAAACAACACGAAGTGGTAAGTGTCATCACTAGGTTCTCAATTGGCAAACTTTTGCAATGCTAAATTTCTAATCTTACACCGACTCACTGTAACTCCTACCTTTGTATTCATGTTACAACCAACGTACCTGATTAAGAATCGACATGGTTCCCTTCGTTAAGATTGTCAAAGGCAGTCAAAAATCTATTTATTCTACCACCGGCATTATTGTTCCAATTGACTGAACCCACAGCCAATTTGGAAGTGTCTGGCCCTCGTCCTTTTGCGGAACCCTCCACTTCAGATTGCGTATCATCCATGGACAACTGATTTCAATTTTCCGCTCCAAGAATGACGCGTATGTTCAGAGAGCAAATCGACTGCAGCCTTGGACAGTGGCACTTAGGAATCAGGTCCTCGCTGTAAAGTGATAAGAAATTCCAGTTTTTGTTATGTTGATTCCCTATCATATCTGATGTCCAAACCTATAACGATAACAGATGACACGGCCATAGCACGGTGGACGCCGATGCGCCGCACGTGATGGAAATTCTGCGTAATATTTTCCGATTATTGACTTCATATAGTTTAATTTATATAGATCGCACCAACCATTTAAGTGCGTGATACACTTTCCTCGTTCTAACTGGTCTTCTAAGACTGGTAATGCGAAACAATGTCCTAACTACCCAGGAGCATCCGCGAACAATATCATATAAATATATCGTATGATAATTTCACAACTCTTCGATCCGCAGTACTGCATCAGTTGAACGATGGTATGTCGGTCAATGTTAGTTCTGCTGACAGTGATCTATACCGTTGAATCACGGCCCCTCTGTTACCACATCTGAAATTTAGGTGCAAAGGCTTTATATTTTGCCGCAGGTACGTGCCTCGTGGACACTACGTCGTACCAATTTCATGAGATGAATCAAATGACAGTGTTGTATGGTGGTCGTTGATGTATTTTATGAATAGGAAAAGAAATATTCCATTGACTTATACAACCTCATACATCTCAAGCACCTCATCCGCCAGTTCGGAATCCATCGGTACAGGAATGTGACAATGCTCAATTCCTGTATATTTCTGAACTATTGCAGTTTCATGTGGGAGTTGTGCACGCACACAAACAACTAGTAAACCAGGCAGGTTAAAATATATTTGGGACAGCCCTGCTAATGCTTCAGGGGAAGGAAATTTCATGGGGATGCTTGGTGTCTTCGTGCGGATCTATGGAATAACGCCTAACCATGATAAATCGTCTGCTGAACTATTTTTAGGCAGACATATCAAATCACAATTGGATCACGGAAAGAAACATTCTGCGAGATCAAGCACACCAGGTGCCCACGAAATGCACCAGAATTTTTAAGTCAACGATATACATATTACAAGGCGAATCGAAAACGTCGCATCAAATCAACCAGACGCTGGGTTGCACATACGGCATATAAATTTGACCAGACAGCACTATTCTTAAAATGACCATCACGTTCGTCTTCATCTGTTAGCGAATAGGCAAGCTGTACGTAGCCCAGTTTAGCGCCTGCACCTCGTACTGGACTATTATGACACTGCGGGATTCAGACACTCTTGACACACACGACGACCGACCCAGCGGTTAAATGTCATACTTAATCTCATTCCACATTTATGATAACTTTTTAACGGAGCAGAGAAACAAGGCGGTACTGACAAACGTACACTCAATAGCGCGTAACGGATACGTGACCAGATTTTGTACTTTTGACTGCTGCTTAGTTGATCTTCATTGTTGGGTTTCCGGTCCACGAATCATTCTTGGTGATCCTTTGGCTGTGGTGCACGCTCCAATCCGTGCACAATTTTTCACTCGTTCAACGACCCCTTGGCGGTCATTACAAGGGGCCTGTGGGAAAATGGAGTCCAACTTGCTATCGCGAAGCGCGAACTTACACGAATTGAGCTAAATCGAGTTGTATCAAATCAGAAGTCACAACGGACCAACTTGAAACCTGCTCTCCGACTATAGTGACCGCCGATGCCTTCACAATTGGTCTTTTATTTGAAGATACGGGTGATTTTCACAATGGGTCTCTTGAAATCACAGGACTAATTAGAGGCTGAGCGGTCTGCTTCTGGCTGAATATATTTACGCGCCGTTTGGCAGAGATTTGCAGATAGAGTAAAAATTTTGGTCGATTAGAAATTAGTTAACTAATAGGGGATGTTTGACTGCAGACAAATCCTCATTATCTAACTGTTTCGTCTTGGGAACAACCCATCCGCTCGCAGGAACCACTTAAGGAGCCGTCTTGAGCGAAATCCAAATGAAGGAGCTGTCTGATCTGTAAAGTGAAGTTAAAATGGACAAATATGAGGCTAATATAAAAAAATGAATTACCAAACTCATAAAACATAAAACATCTAAAATCACGCTGTGATCTTATATCTGATCGACCAACTAACCCAGAATTCCTCCTATAAGTAAAAAAGACAATAGTTCCAAAATCCCATGCGGTCAGCAAAACACATGTAGCCTATAAGACAGGACAATTGAAAAGATTTCATCTTCTTTCTCAAACGTCCCTACCCGATAGATTATTGAACATGTGTATACGTGATTTGGATTCAATGACAGAATGCTGACTGGCGCCATATCCTGCGTGAGTGCGAGTTAACCAAGTGAATGATCAGCCGTTCGTAGACAAATAGTCTAGCTGTTAAATACTAGCCGGGCGGGGGACAGTTTCCACGTCCCTGGGAATATGGAAGACGGGCACTACTGGTGATACCTAATATATATATATATATATATACATATATATATAATTGTATACATAATCTGTTCAGTGATTGTCGAAATAAATTGTCTTCAGTTATTGGACTGTAGTTCAATAGAAAAAACGTTAAGATCTCCCATGTTATCAACATTTGCAGTAAAGTCACTCAAAATTTACTCAGAAATCTTGGACAATTATGTTATTTCGCACAAGGCCTTCACGTGACCGAATTACCGGTTTTGAATAAAAAGACTGAACAAGTTGAAGCACACGCAAAATCATCGTGTGATAATCTAAGAAATAGGTGCTGGGTTCCTTCCCGGAACCTGCTGAAGCAACTAGTTAAATACACTGCTGCGATGACTAACGGATATTTAAGAATATCGGGTGAATTACTTATCACTGTTGTAAAGTAGCAGATGGATGATCTTCCTGAAAACTGAATGTATTCGGGTAGTGTTTTTCTCAGTGCACAGCGGCAAGCCGCCTAAGTAAGACTGATTACTAAATCTTGAACTAAATCTTCAGAACGAATGTATTTGCTCCAGTCTGTCCTAACAAATAAAAGAAGGAACAGTAAGACGCAGAACTTTACCGAGAACTCTTTCAGCCCTGTACCTCAAACTTAATGTTGGTGGGCTGTTGGTGAGAAATAATGTTTTAGGTGAAGCCGTCCTAGCTGCGCAGTTTATGGGTAACTATTTTTAGACAGGCTTTCGCAAGAGAAATGCTTTGAACGCGTTTCATAGCAGTACGCTTAATTATCTTATCAATCGCGGTCTTTGATTCGGTTGACAGCACAAAATTTTGGTTGACAAAAGGACTGCGTCAGTATGTTTTCTGGTGTAAGGGGAGATTAATTTCACAGTATGGAACCAGTTCGCCGATTTAGCTATCTGTAACTCACTAACCAAGTTGCTCGGGATATTCTTGGTAATATCTAACCAACAGAGGACTGACAGCTTTGAGTGGAAAAATGTTATTTATCTAATCAGCATGGTTTAACTGATAACTTACCTGACTCAAATCTGCAGGGCTGGAAAAAGTTAGTGCTCCTAACATCCCCTAGGTAATAGTAACTAAACACTGCCCGAAGAATGCATTTCTGTGGCACTTTACAGCAAGTTTCGCGTAGTCGCTCCTGCGTTATATTCAAGCCAAAGCAACTGTAAAATACACCGCACCTCCTGAAAATCACCGGAACCTATCTGACATCAAAATGAAAAGTGACACGTTGGCGTGCTGCTAGAACGTCCAAGATTTTGGCAAAACTCGGATTACGGATTAAACTACAGAAAAGATTCCGAATTAAGAAAAAAACTCAATGCCTGCATCATACGCAGGTAACATTTGCCTTTTATTGTGGATTTACTCCTGAGTTATCGATTGTCTAGCGTTCTATTCAGCTGATAGACCCATTCTATCTGCAATGTTTGGTTAGGATTACTCGGAAGATTAAAATTTGACGACAGCCCACAACCGGTTTCACCCTTTTTGGGGCTCATCAGGTAGGCACAGTCCCCGGGTTTCCGTCAACCTTATGTTCTGCTTGAAACCAAATTGCACGAAATTCGCGAATATACACTCATTTGGAAACTAATTTGGTTCTTTTGATAGACTCACCTGGAACCCAGCTGGATCTCTCGTTTGTGATGTTCTCAGGCAACTGAATGTGCTGCACCAGGCCGCCTCATATTTCAGTCGCTACGGTATTCGAGATATCGCGATACATGTATTCGCGATATCTCGAATACCGTAGCGACTGAAATATGAGGCGGCCTGGTGCAGCACATTCAGTTGCCTGAGAACATCACAAACGAGAGATTCAGCTGGGTTCCAGGTGAGTCTCTCGAAAAACCAAATTGGTTTGCAAATGAATGTATATTCGCGACTAAAATTTGAGTTGTTCTGAATGCAAACGACACATTATCCACAAAATCATGCGTCGGTAATGCTGTATGTGGCGGACATCCACTAGTTAAACCGGGCTATGCAAGAATCGGTAAGGCCAAAGCAGATATATGAAAGTAGTTACCAGGTGAATAGTGAAAGCCTCCTCTTTTTCGGCTAATAATGAATAGCCCGTTCTTGTGCAAAATCGTATAGAAAAGGGTCATGCACGGATGCTTGGGATGTTCATAAACGCGAAAAATAGACTGCAATCATAATAAGTGAGATCTACTTATGAGACTGTTTAGCTGGTTAGCTGAACTCAACAAGCAGCACTGCATTTTACTAGGTAACACTATTCAAATTCTCGATCACTCACAATACTTTCCTTCTATGCTATTTTGTGCTTTGAAGATGCCTACGCAGCGCAGTTTTGCACCCAGAGAGCTGTCCCCGAAAACACATTAGTATTATTCGTAATGCACCACTCAGAACATTCAGTTGCCTAGAAACATCACAAATGAGAGATTCAGCTGGGTTTTAGGTGAGTCTCTCACAAAACCAGATTAGTTTGCCAATGAGAGTATTTCACATCAGTTTTATTTAGCTAACCTGGCACACAAGTGATTCGTCATTAGAAACTGGCACAAAATTTCCTCCTTTGAACAACAGAGTGGGCTTATCTTTCGAGGTTTTTATGATGTTGACGCACCATGCGTTGAAACATGTGGAAGAATGTCCACTGGATACACTGTAAGCGGGTTTGAGAGATTTTACATGGCGTTTTGCAACGACCACACTTCTAACATTAAATACTAATCAACCCCAGAGTTAATGGAAAAATCTTCTCATTGTGATGACCTCATACATGACAGAATGTCACCTATGCTAACGAATTACCAAATAACATTTCCTAGCCGATTTAATATAAAACATCCAAGGTTGCACATTGAGCACTGTGACAAGGCAGCCCAAATGAGTTTTGACCTAACCAGCAGTGAATTATTTAGATTGAGCAAAATTTAAACTAGCCCATAAGCAGAGAATATTCTCTCAGTGGGTTACGCGGAATTACGTTAACTTAAACAAGTTTCGGTTTCACATCACTCTCGTTTTGAACAGTCGTCCTCCAGTTCTGGCGCAATTACTCATGTGAATCCACACCAAAGGGGGGAAGCACTGGACAAGAGTTTGGCTCCTGTTAGAGCTCATCAGCGGCGCATATTCAATGGCCATGCCGGGGTTTAAACTCCGGACACCCGACATGCGAGGCGAACGTGTTGACACTATTTGGAGGCATCTGAATTCTCACGTCTGAACGGGCAAACATGTTCGCACTTGAGCGATGTGATTAGTATGCCCGACGCATCATCGATACGACGACCCAGTAAATCTCTAGGTTATGACGATCGATGGGCCCGCTTGTCAGGACTTCCCAGTCAGGTAGTGCCACAGACGCTTGAAACCGGCTGGAGTTCAAACCCCGGCACGACCATTGGATATGCACTGCTGATGAGCTCTACCAAGAGCGAAACTCGAGTCCAGTGCTTCCCCCCTTTGGTGTGGATTCACATGAATAATTGCGCCAGAACTGGAGGATGACTGTTCAAAACGATATTAACGTGAAATTGAACAATACAACTCCCGCAAACCCCTCACATGCAGTAAAAATTTTGTTCATATTTGTCCTGCTGCAGGTGAAAATACTGATAGACAGTCCCAGGCTAATTACCACAAAAAGCATATAATCCGGATTCTTCTTTACTTTAGCAGGAACCCGGTCAACTGGACAAACTTTTCTTCAGGGTCACGTTCCAGTTCATGCATGACATTGTTATAATGAAGACCGGATTCTGGACCGTGATGGATTTTACCTGGACTTTGGAGGAACGTGCAATAGACGTTATTGTGCCTATCCTTGTGCCTTGTAAGCCGACTGTTCCACTTCATAGCTTAATGACAGCTTTTTTGTTCCTGCTACTCACTAGCCTCTTTTGTTAAGTTTTTGTTTGTAGTTGCGATCATTTTGTAGTTTGAAGTTATTCTGTGACCCTAAGCGCTTTTCACGCAATTTCTGTCTCTTAGTCTGTTTGGTCTGCACTTTGAGGCATCTGCTACCTTTTGCCTCCGGCTTTATCCCAAAGTTTTGTTGATTCCCCGCACACTGAGCACTGCACCGGACATGAATAAGATTCACATATACGGGTTCATCTAAAACTAACTGGGACACGAAAGGGGCTATTCGTCTGCTCTTTTACGTCGGGACAAGCCTAGACAACACCAGCTACCGAGTTCAATCTACATGGACATTGGAGTTAAAGCATGTTTAAATCGAGATGGCCTGTCAGCCTTCACAAGGACTTCTTTATGAAGTTTAAATACTTTGATTTTGTTGAACCGATCCCCACAAAGGACAATCATATCACGGGTTACGTTTCCAATATGTCCCCCCTTCAGAGAAACGGCCATTTCTCCGGCATTGGTCGAGTTACTTTGAAATAAATGCTACTGTTCCATCATACATTTTTGTGCTTAGTGGAGAATTAGGACATCCATAGTGCACATCCAAACGGCACATCCTTACTATTTTACAAGAAGTAAGGTCAGTTACATGGTCCATAAATGGTATGATGGCATCGGGATAGTAACGTCACATGATTATTGGCTAAATAAGCAACCAGCAGTGCGCCGTGTCGATCCTAAGCAAGGGGAGATCGTACCTGTTGAGCCGAAAACTATGCGTTTTCCCTGTGTGAGACGCCGGAGCGACACCTTAAATTTTTAATGCAGAAAACAGAGATTACTGCTCGGCGTAAGTTAAGGTAATTGCAGTAGCTCAGAATGAGTGCCCCACTTCAATGAGTGCTTTATATGGACACAAATTGATAAAAGTCGTTATTACGAGAAAGGCCACCAACCTAAGTAAACTTTTGAGGCAGGGGAGAGTTCTGGGTAGAGTCGTCCAAAGTAGAGTAAACCGAAGAGGATGTATGAAAACTCAAACTGTAGGAACTTCCATCAGACTTTCCGACGGATTGGACAAAAATTGATCATTTAGTAGTGGACGCAAATTTGCAGGTTTGGACGTATCCAGTTTTAAAGACTCATAGAAAAATGTTACCTCAGGTTAAGGAAAATGAATGTAGGAAAAAGATGTACATTACATGGCTTAAACCTTTGCAGTCAAATTTTCCATGGATGACTGCGATATTTCTCAATGCAATTTAGTGAAGCCCAGTCCCATTTGTTCTGATGGCCACTTGCTTATGAAAGCGTGTGGTTTTGAAGAAAAACAATCTCTTATTTTTATCTGTTCCCCTCAAGGTCCTGCTTGCCTATGCCATAGTACCCTCTGGCAGCTAGGACTCAGAAGCGAATGTGTAGCTTGGTTTAACGGACAGTTGTAAATCTCACTGAATTCAAAGGCATTTTACAGGGGGCGAAGCTGTTTTTTGCAATGAAGCGTGTGCCGAAATACGCTGTGCTAATACAGACATAGCTAACTATCATTATTCGAGTCCTGTCAATCAGCAGAATTGGTGTCGTGTTCTCTCCAAGTCCACTTCAACAGTTGTGACCAGCCTTTCACATGCCCGCCAACGAGCATATGAAAAAAGTTTTGTCTTGTGTTCATTTTTTGGAAAAACCTCCCACCTTTTTTTGCAAATGGCCCTCTCAAAAGACATAGAACCGGAGCTCAACTCAAGGAGTAACCGAGACAAATAATTTGGTACATTTGAGCTTCCCCGAGGCAGTCAGCAGGTTGCTTTACATATCACAGCTCACAGAGTGTTTCAATATTTCATGTAAAAACGAACGGTCGTTTGGCGACGCAGAAGAAAAGGAATTGTGGAGTGAAAGATTCACTGATAAGAGCATATGGACTTGTGAAATGAACTAATTTGTACCAGTTCGCTCGGCCTGTTCTGCAACCGAAATAAACTTTGCCAGCGTCGGATGGACAGTTTGACGGGAAAAAAGAAAAGCGGGTCTCTTTTAAATTTCGGTGTGGCGACTGAATGGGTGAGAAGGCTGTGAGTGACACTGTCGATTGAATCAAAGGATGATGAGTTATTTCACCGCTTGGCTCAAATTACGTATACAGCTGAGGGCGTGTTTGGTGCTCAGAATGCTTGGAAAGCAATCCTCAACCGGTATGTATAAGGTGTTTATTAAGTGAAGGAATTCATATCCCTCGGAACACTGTTTACCTGTGTGTGTGGTTAGAGTGAATCCAGGCAGTTTTACTACAGAGAAGGAAATATCGTCCCGTGCTGGTAAAATGACGGTTGAATATAGAAAATTGTTGTGCTTAAATGATTTTGACCTCATTTTCGAATAACCGTGCACAGCATGTAGACTTTCAAGGTTAAGGAATTAAAACAACGTTATAACTAATGTTTTCACCTTGATTGTTTTTTCTGGAGTAGAATTATACGTACCTCTAAATAATTTGTTGGAAACATCCTTGTTTTGAAGGAGGGTTTCAGGGTTCCATTCTCTTCATTGCTTGTGTCTGAAAATGTGCCATTCCCGGCGTGAGTGGACGAACTCCTCACCAATGTAAACCTCACATCGGATAGGCAAATAAGGGACCTACCACTTATTATATTATTATTATTATTATTATTATTATTAATAAACACAACCTATTCTTCACCGCTGGAAACGATATACAAGCAAACATTACAACGCCTTCGGCCTTAATCTCAGAAAACAATGCGGGCATGTCGAGTAACACCGCATTCCTTCGTTACTGGTCCATATGATAAGCTCGACAATCGTGACTCGATTTCTTGATTTCAGCAGAAATCAAAAACCACATTTAGGTTTAAGTGTTATGGACAATTCAATATGCTAAACTTTTTAGTCATCAGAGAGCGGGATTGAAAGCTCTGAATTCCGGAAATCCTATTCATCAATTGAGGTGCCATTGGGTGAGGTCGGGCTGAACACTGAATATACAAGCAAACAACGCCTTCGGCCTTAATCTCAGAAAACAATGCGGGCATGTCGAGTAACACCGCATTCCTTCGTTACTGGTCCATATGATAAGCTCGACAATCGTGACTCGATTTCTTGATTTCAGCAGAAATCAAAAACCACATTTAGGTTTAAGTGTTATGGACAATTCAATATGCTAAACTTTTTAGTCATCAGAGAGCGGGATTGAAAGCTCTGAATTCCGGAAATCCTATTCATCAATTGAGGTGCCATTGGGTGAGGTCGGGCTGAACACTGAATTTATAGCCACTGCTTGCGGCTCTACCGTACCCTAAAAATGATTTAAGAGTAACGTGAATGTTTTCGTTAACATAGGATAAAATTTTCATCGGTGAATTGTGGAGCAGGGGTTATGGCGCTTATGAAGAAAACGGCTCGACTGGGCAAGTGGCAGCACACACTGGTAAAATATACTGCATTCAGCTATGCGGTGTCCCAAAATCACGATACTGTGGTTACTTTCGTCGACTCAGCTCTAAAAACCATTGCGTTAAGCGTTGAAATTCAGTGAGACGTGAGAAAAATCAAAACGGTTGGTTCGTATTAGCGTGTGAGGTGGCTTCATCTCACATGCTGATTGAAAACTTCGTTGTTTGTTCAGTGATTCACCCAACAATGTTTTCACGTTTGAATGCACTTGGTGAAAAAACAGTAAAAGGAAGAGATGAATGCCATACAAACTCAACGAAGGTAGCAGAAACGCACTCGTGTCCATTTTCCACCACAGTGTCAAAAGAAACGAATCAGACTCAGTTGAATTCGTTACATGTAATAAAAAGCATCCGGAAAATACACAAAACTCTCACAATACTGAGAGATGGGGAGCTTCAACTAGGACAAACTTAGGAGATAACCAAGATGTTGTTAGTTGTTAGTAGGCTGGGCGGCCCAGTGTAAACCTCTGACAGACCCGTTTTTTCTATCATTCATATTCATCACATCCTCAGACGTATTCATCAGTACGCAACAGAGTATTGAAGCTTTGGAAAGGATTAGTTTGAGTATGCGATAAAAATACTGAACTTTGTGGCCTCGAGGTGTATTATGCAACACATCAGTGCAACCACATAGGTTGACTAGCATGCAAACTTCTCTGGAGACCACAGCCGCTAGCATACTAGATGTGGAATTCGCATAGATTAGATGGTAATCGGTCTTGAAGCAAGATAACACTTGGTTTAGCTTGGCATGTAAGTCTAACAGTGTAGGTTGTTTTGGTATTAAGGTAGCACTGAAGTCAATAGAAGAAACGTGACCGGGTTGATCCAAGCAGATATATCTTTTGTTCCGCGATAAACGTCGTTAAGCCAGAAATAATCTGCCCTTGTCTCAATATTACCGGGTTTTCTTTAAACAAATGTTCTTTAGCTGATAGCTGCTTAGTAAAAGGAGAGAAACTGACTCAAATGGTGTAAAAATTGAACAGTCCTGCGGCTCTTTCCGCAGATTAAAACGCATGCGGTAAAATAAACGGAAAGACGGAAAAATTCCATTGAGATTTTGCATATAAGGAGGGCCGTCTATGGCAGAAATCCGAGATGCACTGCATAACTGTCTTGTTCTCGTTGGGAACTATGACAGTGCACATCTCATGAGAGTTCAGGGGGTTTCAACAGACTAAATGTTTGCATATAAATTGTCTAAAATACTGACCGGTGGGTCACGGGTTCGCAGCTCGTTGTGATATTCGCAGTGCCTGTGTTTTTTTTCGATAAAGATGACATGAATGTGCAGAGTTTCTCGGCTTTTACATGCCGAAACCTCAACTATAAATTCAAAGACTTCCTTACACTACAAACAATCATCATCAAGGATGACATAATGTGCAGAGTTTCTCGGCTTTTACATGCCGAAACCTCAACTATAAATTCAAAGACTTCCTTACACTACAAACAATCATCATCATCATTGTCAGCTGTAATAACCGCGTACTCGTAGTACGGTGGTTGTAACTGCCGCAGTTTCGTTCACCGATGATTTAGGGGGGGGGAGGGAGAGCTGCGCATTGCAAGCGGGAGCTGATAAATTGATGCATAAATCCAGCACTGTCAGTGGGCTGTCAAACGGGGGGGGGGGTGGAAAAGGAGCTATGCATTGAAGGCAATAGCTTTGATTCGTCCAATAACTTGTGTCATGTTTTTTAATTTATGTGAAAAATTCAAGTCACCAGACAATTTATTTGTTCAGTTTATTCGCATTTTACAAAATAATGTTTTCTACATTTCTCAGTTTCAACATATACGCAGTAGTCAGGTCACTACGTGTCCGGTGGTTTAAGTATGAGCCGATAAGGGAATGGTATTCGGATCTGGAAAACATTAGGACATTTTGTCGCCAAAGCATGCAATTGAATCTAACTTTATAATTGCTCAAAAGTGGAAGAATTGCAGTTGAACAAAATAACTGGATCCTGTAGTAGTCAACCAAAGCATCGTGGGAAAAAATAATAGTTTGTTGGCTTTTGGAAATGAAGGCTATTGGAATGGGTTGAATTAGCAGTTTACCTACTGGAAGATGTGTGCAATAGAACAATTATGGCTCCAAAGTAAAACTAATCCTGGCATTGAGGCTTTTCAGTTAGAGCTTGGAATTTTATCAATGAAGTCTAAAACGTGGTTGTCATACTTGGAACGCTACGTTGAAAGTGCGAAATGTCCGACGTAATCACGAAATCTAACTGAAGGCTGTCGGCAAGCCTTAGTCTAAGAGGTCTCCAAAAGTGCAGCTTTTTGTCCATTTATGTTTGCTTAGGAGGTGGATATGAATATGCATATGTGTCCATATAGATGTGCATGCATATAATTGTATATATACACGTATATGCCTACGTATATTTGTGTACATGTATATCTAGCTTAGGAGGATGAATATGCATATGTGTCCATATAGATGTGCATGCATATAATTGTATATATACACGTATATGCCTACGTATATTTGTGTTGTGTACTATCTATACGCATATATATATATATATATGTATATGTATATGGCGATATCTTGAATGACGTAGCGAGTGAAACATGAGACGGCCTTGTGCAGCACATTCAGTTGCCTGGAAACATCACAAACGAGAAATTCAGCTGGGTTCCATGTGAGTCTCCCGAAGAACCAAATTAGTTTGCAATTTAGTTTCGCTAATTTCGTGTAACTTGTTTTCAAGTAGAACACAAGGTTGACGGAAACTCGAGGACTGCACCTACATGATGAGCCCCAAAGAGGGCGAGACCGGTCGTGGGCTGCCAGCAAATTTTCAGCAACATTATGAGCAATTTTTTTCAATTTTTGTTTTTACACTACTCTCCTTTCAACGGGCCTCTTCTTGACCTGATGCAATCAATCTAGTTTGTCCACAGCAAAGGTGGGAATCACTGAAGTCGATGTTCGCTCTTATTAGTGCTCGTCGGTAGTTCATAGCCCTGTAGGGTTTTGAACCTCGAAGGTAGGACATACAAGAGGAGTACGTTACCACTTTTTCATTTTTATAGTCTGAAGGCACCCGAATGGTTGCTCCTGAACCGGTGAACCTGTTCCCGCTTAAGCCAGTAAGTCGTAGGTGAAGCTGGTAAACAGACTACTGCTTGATCTACGGTATCTAGCTTGCATTTAGCGTAGTTTTGAACACACTGATATTGAAAAATATAATTTTTATTGTGGCACTACTGAAAAACTTATTGATCTTTTCGCAGTTCATCGGATAATCAAAGTCCATTTTAACTCGTTTCATGTCCTCACCTCATTTTGGATTCCTCTTCGCAATGACTATATGCTGGGGAATTCAGCAACTAGGAAATAGTTCAGACAATGCAGGAATCGGGGCACAAAGAGAATCTTGCCCCACTGATTATCCATGCCTGTAAATATACCTCGCATTGCACACGCAGACAAATTAGACAAAACTGTTGTCGTCAAATGTTCAGGGCTTATTCTCTGTTGATCATACCACGAATTTGACAGAGTCAGAAAAATTGAATCCTCATCGACAGCAATCATACTGTAGGTTTTGGCTCTGATCTCTTTAAAAACCGGTCAGAAAACCATCAAAAGGCGTGTTGTCTCATGTCTTGAGTACGAATGCTTTCGGATTTCACAACAGTGTCTAATTAGGGTTAAGTATGTCATATCAAGCATATGAGTACAAACGACTTACTTTGCATTTTCTCCTGTTGGTTCGGCTCATTCACAAGCGCTTAGTACTCGTCATGTTCTCTGATTTTCACCAGTGAAGAATTAAGATTATGCGACTGCTCACCTGCTTAGCTAAAGTGGATAGCAGCTCATTAAGTTGCTCATAAGATTGTTTTTAAGCTAAGCTTCTCTCCTGAACTATAAAGGAGCGGATTGGGTATGGAACGTATTAATTGAGTGGTTGATATGGGACATTCTGCATTTTTCACATAAAACGATGGTAACGATTGAACATCTTAGGAACACCACTATGATTCTGACCTAGGCAATTCGACGCCACTTTACTCGACCTAATTTGCAGTCTAACCGCGTTGGAAAATGGGTCATTTTCCCGGGACTCTCAACTGTGTGGCCAAATATCACATCACAAAGTGAACGACGAAAGAAACTTTATAGTCTCTGCTTGATGCGCACACTTTGCTTCACGTTACACAGAAAGGCAAAATAAAGCGGAATCATATGGACAAGGAGCAAACTTCACACGACTGCTGGAGCGAATAATTGTGAAGCCCAAACTGAAAGAAACCGACCCTGTAATGATGAGCCAACTGCAGCTCTCAAATAGCAAGCCTAACTACCAAAGTAACCAATGATACTCTCACGCCGACTCATAAAGTGAAATTCGCTGCTAACGTAAGCATCGATTTTTCACAAACACCGCGATTCTCATCTTATCTACTTAACTTTAACCACCTTTTCACCGCAGTGCGCCCATCCGTCTGTCAGAATTATTCATACTGTTAAGTATCTTTACTTCCTTTCACTTACAATCCAACAAATCGGTTCTTTTCCCTAAGGAAGGCCGTTTCACTGGAGAATTAATGCTTTCTTGGGTCTGGAGTTTGCCTTTCAGTGGCAGGTGGAAAATGCAGATTATTTGAAAACATTGCATTCTTTCATAGTCTGGTTACAAGAATGCCCACAACAAGTGAGTATCCGTAAAGAGAATTTATGTATTCTCAGTAGATACTCATTGTGATACCTGGTTTCTTTGGCTCCCAAAAACGAGCTACCTTAAGGTTTCTAAAAATCTTAAATGCCGAAAAGAGGGATTCCCCATATAAATGAATTATTAATCCGCATTACAAAACCAGCAGTTCTTGAATCTCACTTCCCATTTACTATTGCAAGTGCCTTATGGCTAGCAGGCCGGAATCGATCATCAGTACTGACTCATCAGCCGACGAAATAGATGTAGTAATCGGACCTTACTCGCAATCTATAACAAGTTGGATTAAGAGTTCTACTGGAAAATAGGGAAAGGACTGAGCTCTTTAATGATGTCCCCTGCGATAAATACCATCAGCTGTTTACATCACATCATGCTTGTGGTGTATCTGGTGGCCTGATGTGGTTGATACTCCTGTAATTATTCAGCGTCCCTTGCATTTTCTGGGCAACTTATGCACTGGTTTTCTTCTAATCTGTGATGCAGCTGACAGCCTCAGAATTTTTTGGCAGGCTTTTTAAGGGTGGCAGTTAAGTGAGACATAAATGAACAGAATTTCCTTTCTCAATTGAAAACAAAAAGATGTAAAAATTCTGATATTCCATTAAATATATATATATATATAT